AATAACTCTACTGCCCTCACCAAACCAATCAACGTCTCCTGCTAAATTGTTTAACTGGTCCAACTGATTCACATCATCAAGGGTTAAGAGAATCCTCTTATGTCTCAATCGTTGCTTGATAACATTTATTCCTTGATCAAGAGTAATCAAGTTGAAGTTTTTGTCTCCTAGGATCTGACAAAGAAGATTCTTTTGTAGTTCAATTAGTCCATACACTGATGACTTTCCTCTAACATCTGCCAGAAAACAAATACCTTCAAACTTGCGTGCAATTGAATTATAAATCGCTTTAGCAACTGTCGTCTTGCCTATTCCAGGAATACCCCATATGCCAACCATGCAACGACCATTTCCATCAACACCTAAAATCTTGTTGACATCTGTTACATGAGACTCTAATCCAACTTTGTAGGCTGGGCCACCAAAATATGTCTTGTTGATCAGTTGAACTGAAATCTCTTCAACGACTTTACCGATAAATTTAGCTTCATACCTACCATTTTAAAAACATATGATAGAGATTCAACGTTGATTCATATATAATTATATTTATATAGAAAACCTTATGCAAACATAGAGATAAGTTGCTAGAAGATTTTCCTTTTTTTACTAAAGCAAACTTTGTTTGTGATTTTCCTAGGAAGTGTGTGAAAATATTACAAGAAAGGGAAAAACCTAGAAAGTTGTCAACTTGTCATTGATTTGATTCTAGTATTAATTGTATAATTAATTATAAATTTAAAGTTTAATTGGCACCTCAAAAATGCAATTATGTAAGGGTTAGAAATTATGTACGTACTCGTCCTCCTTTAAATGTGACCCAGACAAATTTGCTGCCTCCGTAAGAGCTCTCCTCCATTTGAGCACTTTCTCCATGTCATCCTTGAATTTGAGTTCATGGTGGGCAAATGCGTGACCAAAACTACTTCTTTGGTGTCGTACATCTGAGGGATCCACCTTGTAGAAAATTGGCCTAACCATTTGTCCCTTTGATTTTTTACATTCAAGGATCTTAACAAGTTCGCCCACGCACCAGCTTGAAGATGCATAGTTTTCAGAGAAAACGATGACAGAAATCTTTGAGTCTTCAATGGTTTTGAGAAGTTGAGG